ATTCACTTATTTTCAACATTAAATAAAAGCTCGATCTAAAAACAAGAACGAAATAGGAATAAAAAAACCAAACTTGTTCGTTCGGACAACGGACATCTAGGTAAACGAATTAAAACGTTTATTCAAGCGCACTTTAAACGACACAAGTTGATCAATTAAAGGCAGCAGTATGTTCAAATAGGGCCTATTAGGAGGAACATATAGGGGAAAAAGTACATATTGCAAACAAAGAGAGTTGCTACGCATAGCTTTAACTTTTAAAATATGTATAATATTTGTATAATTTTGTAATGAAATTAAAGTTTAAGGACCTAGGACAAGTGTTGAACCCTTGCTGAATGATAGAATGTTTATGAAATTGAAGGCATATTTTGACTGTTGGCTCAAATCAGTAGTACCGGTTGTTTTGTACTTCAGAGTCTAATGTGCTCTTAAATGCAAGAAAAAATGTATGTTGAATCACTACCGTAGCAGCGGGGGGAAAAGGGGGGACAAATAGTGATCCCCGAGCAATTTTGTGAAAAAATTAAAAAGGACAATGACTGACTTTCAGACTAATTAATTCGACTATAGAAGTGTTTTTTTTTTTACTGCTTGTCACTTTCAAAAGCCCCCTTCCCCACTTTTCAGTCTACTCCTACGCCACAGTGATTTTTTTTTAGCACAAACTATGCTAAGGTATTGTTTTACATACGACTGTCACTGTTTTTAAGGTAAATACAAAATGGCTATGAATGCTTGAAAGTGCAGAAACATCGTCGTGCAGTTATTTCCGCAATACTTGAAAACGTTATATTCAATATAGTCATAATTTGGAACATATAAATGATGGACACGTCTTCATTTGCCTCGAATTTTATGCCCCGCAGATAATTTGCACGTTATTGATTTTTTCGCGAATTTGAAAACGTTGCAAAATCAACGCATTACATTGGAGTGTTTACTATTGCATTGTGTGCCCTTAAATGCGATGATCTTGTAGAGTGAGCGCAACACACTTGTCACATTAACCAATACTCTTACTCTCGGAGAGGTCCATACACAACCATCTTTTTAAAGTAACAGCTTCAAATTTAGCACCTACATCCAAGTTAACCTCCCTTTAGTACTTATTGATAATTAGATTTCGATATGAATATGCACGAAATATTTTCCACTGGTTATTAAGCAAGCACATTTCAATCAGACAATTGGCCAACTTCAACAGCAGTGTTGGTTGGAATTTTTATCAAACGGAAAATACAATCAGATGTTGCATTTTTAGTAATACGCAGAATAGTAGTCGAGATGAACCAGATGAATTATGGCCGCAATCAGCAAGCTAAAATTTTAAACAACATGACATTATGATAGATGCAAAGTTTGGTCCTGTGGTTCAGAGAATAATGAATATAACTTACTTTTAGCGATGTCATGAATTTTTGACAAGATGAGCTAAAACAAACAAATGAATGAAAACTCACTTGCCCAACTTGGCAAATAATTTCTGTCTCTTTACCCAATGTTCTCAACTCACCACACCAAGCATTTTCACATACTTATTACCACGAATCTAGCAAGATAATGTGTCACAAATACGATATTTCCTACACACAGATATAATAACACTTATTCTTAAAACAGCTTTCATACACACCCCCACTTCTTTTCTTGGCGATACCAACAAGCTGCTGTCCTTAATCACACCTTTTTCCTTTTCAACAGCTTACTCTATTCTCTGATTTTGCTTTTTCGTCTCGACACTTTCTGTTCGGTTTCCTTGCACCTAAAGCTAATCCTGCCAGTAGAACTTGCAAAACCACTTCCCAAATTCTCTTACCAATATCAATTATTTTACCTTCACTTGACTCCGATCATTAAGCCTTCCTTACTCAAATAGGGACTTTATATGGGAATATCCAAACATTCAGTTTTCCATCATTTTGTTTCTGTTAAAAAATATCTCACCTATTCTAAATTTTTACACCAATAGTCCTCCCAAAAATAAACAATTACATATCCCCAAATAAAATGTAAAATTATTTTAACAATGCTCCCCATCCTCAGACACCTTCACTATCAATTTAAACTTTGAAATGTTTCACTTTTCAGAATCACATATCTTTCCTCTTTACACCCTTTTTTACACACCTAATTGTTGATCATTGTTCCCCTCTTTATTCAAATTCTACTGCAAGCAATTCATAACATAACTCATTTTCCCCATGTTCCTTCAAACACTGCTTATATATAACTGACTAACTTCATCCACTAGTAAATGTTGCTCACTCTTATTACCAAAAAAACTTTGTCAAAACTCTTAAAGGTAAGTTACATTACCAAATTTTAGCTAGAGTAATATATCTTTTTGACAACTCCAAACTGGAAGATATTCTATTCTGATATTTCTTAATGTGGGCCTTTATACTAGTTATTCTTTTTATTAACTAATAGCAGATATTAAAGACAGTATGATAGCAGATATTAATGACAATATGATGAAGTCAGGGGGACAGCCAACTTGCTAGCAATCGACTGCTGACCAAAAAATAAGTGAAGACAATTTCTGTTGAATTCATTTGAAATAAAAACAAGAGTTCACATGCTGAAATGTCTTGCCTTCTTTACAGCTCATAACTGTATTTTATGTATTGCATATATATTGACTTGTTGCATATATTATCTGTGAAAGGGACCTAACCACGAAAACTTAATAATGAACAATGCACAATGACAAGAGTGAACACGCTGAAATGTCTCGCCTTCTTTACTTATCATTGATATTATGTTGATAGTCCTAAATATAAAGCTTTATTACAACTGTCACATAAACTTAACATTAACCAAGTAAACTAAACATTGACCAATGAACCATGAAAATGAGGTCAAGGTCAGATGAACCATGCTAGGCAGGCATGTACAGCTAACAATTCTTCCATACAACAAATATAGTTGACCTATTGCTTATAGTTTAAGAAAAACAGACCAAAACACAAAAACTTAACACTGAGCAATGAACCTTGAAAATGAGGTCAAGGTAAAAAAAAAACCTGCATGACTGACAAATACTGGTAGATCATAAAATATTTCCATACACCAAATATAGTTGAACTATTGCATACAGTATTAGAAAAAAGACCAAAACTCAAAAACTTAACTTTGACCACTGAACCATGAAAATGAGGTCAAGGTCAGATGACACCTGCCAGTTGGACATGTACACCTTACAGTCCTTCCATACACCGAATATACTAGAACTATTACTTATAGTATCTGAGATATGGACTTAACCACCAAAACTTAACCTTGTTCACTGATCCATGAAATGAGGTTGAGGTCAAGTGAAAACTGTCTGACGGGCATGAGGACCTTGCAAGGTACGCACATACCAAATATAGTTATCCTATTACTTATAATAAGAGAGAATTTAACATTACAAAAAATGTTAATTTTTTTTTCAAGTAGTCACTGCATAGGCGGATCCAGGGGGGGCCCCGGGCCCCCCCTTTTGTGGGAAAAATTTGGTTGATTATATAGGGAATCACTGAAGCATGACGGGAGCAGGCCCCCCTTAGGTCAGTCAGCGGGCCCCCCCTTATGAAAAGTTCTGGATCCGCCACTGCACTGAACCATGAAAATTCTATAATATAAAGTTTTTAAGAAGTTAGCTAACGCCGCCGCCGGATCACTATCCCTATGTCGAGCTTTCTGCAACAAAAGTCGCAGGCTCGACAAAAATGACTTCAAAGTCTGTTGAACCCTCATACACCAAATATAGTTGCTCTAGTGTTTATAGTACATGAAAATCATACTTAACAATAACAAGTTATTGTCGAAAAATAAACCATGAAAATAAGGTCAAGGTCAGATGAACTCTGCAAGATGGACATGTACACTATACAATCATTCTATACACAAAATATATTTGAACTTATAATTATAGTATCTGGGAGACTTATATTTAACAAATGAACCATGTCATACAGATATATAGTTGACCTATTGCTTATAGTATCTGAGAAAGGGACTGAACCACAAAAACTTTATGGTGACCAATGAAACAGGAAAATGAGGTCAAGGTTTGACGAGCCCTGCTAGATGGACTTGTACACCTTAGTCATTCCACACACCAAATATAGTTGACCTATTGCTTAAAGTATCTAAGAAAGGGACTGAGCCACAAAAAACTTTATGGTGACCAATGAACCAGGAAAATGAGGTCAAGGTTTGATGAGCCCTGCCAGATGGACATGTACACCTTACAATCATTTCATACGCCAGATATAATTAACCTATTGCTAATAGTATTTAAGAAACAAACCTTACCATGAAAACATAATGTTGACCAATCATCCATGACAATGAGTTCATGGTCAGATGAACATTGCCTGATGAACCTGGACACCTTACAATCATTACATACACCAAATATAGTTGACCCGTCGCATATTATCTTAGGAAAGGACCTCACCACAAAAACTGATTCATGAAATGAGGACAATGTCATTAGAACTATATTTGATTGACTTGTATATCTTTCAAGGATTGTACATGTATATACCAAATATAGTTTTCCTATTACTCAAAATAAGTCAGAAAATAATGTGATAAATATACTATACAGTTTACAGTTGCTGAACCATGAAAATGAGACCAAAGAAAATGAACATAAGCAAGACAGACACATCAGAACATATGGCATCTGTAAACAAGATACAAAGTATCCAGGTATTCTACCTTCTAATATATAAAGTTTTATACAAGTAAGGTCACAGTCAGATCAACATGTTTCCCATACTGTTGCAGGTAGGACAAAAGGTCATATGGCATACATTAGAACAGGTATAAACTATCACTATGTTCAAGAATTTTCCAATTTGTGAGATAAATGAGTTCTCATTCAACAATTTCATCACAATCTTACTTCTATCATTCACTGTCACATCATTTCATTGGTGGTATTTAATGTTGAAAATTCAGTTCGTCCTTTTCAACTCAAAATAATTGATCATCACATTACAACAAATACACACTGGTCTTTTAATACACTAACATATAACATGTTTAAGACACTAACAACATCTTATTCACAACAAACACTTTTTGATGACTCCATTCATGTCAATATTTTTTCTCTGTGCCAGGTCTGTTCTTTACTTTCCATGTTCAATGTTACAAACTCTTCTCGCGTATCACACTTTTCTGAACCATCAACTTGCTAGTTTTGATAACTAATATTTAACTCGTTTAACATCTCTAATTTGTCTAAACCAACAGTATTTTTCTTCACTATCTCAAGTTCAAATAAAGACCTCATCACTGTCTTCGCTTACTTCAGCTCTCATTGTATTCCAAGCTATGTACACTTTTTTCATCCAAATGTTTTATATGCATGCATTTATTGCAGTGACAAATTTTCAATTCATTTAATTGTTGTGGTTTTCATGTTATAATAGGCTTCTTTGTAGAAAATTAAAGAGTTGAAATTTTCATTACAGGAATTTAAAATAAACAATTATTATGTAACATTTAACTTTTTTCCACTCCATTGTTTTCACATAAAGAATTTAAAGGTTTGACATGATTAAGAGTAGTTCTTTTTTAGATGATTTTTTTGCATATGATATCATTCTTTATTTTTTAATTTCTGGAAAATTATAGAATCAAAGTTTATGAAAATTTGTTTTTTGTTTTTTTTTTTAATCTGAAATCACTAATACTTATTCCAGAGGTGGGATATTTTAAGTACAATTTGAATTTTTGTATCAATGAAGTATTTACAAAAAAAAGGAAAATGTAGTAATTTGACACTGAATTGCAAAAAATGTAAAAACTTAATTCCAACCACTACTGCGACTACTACTGCTGCCCCCGCCCCACCCACTGTATCCTCCTGTCTGACTCGTACTGTAGGTTCCACTGGAACTGCCTGTGTCATATCCTGTTGAAGTCCCCCAACCACTGTAAGATCTGTTGCTGTCTGACTTTGAACCAAGCGTTCCTCCATATCCAGGACCCAAATCAGCACCCCCTGCATTCTGTGAAGGCATACCACCCCACCCTCCTTGTGCCTGTCCAGAAAGGACAGCCTGTGCCGCAGCCAACATGGCAGAGTTTAAAAAATTCATTCCATTCATTCCAACTGGCTCATTTATTCCAGTCATAGGTTGATCTCTGTGGTCATCTCTGGACTTCCTCATACGACCATCTCTTTCTCTACGGTCATATCTTTCCCTTTCTCTATCCCTATCATCCCTTCTATAATCCCTCCCCCGATCACCCCTATGGTCACCCCTGTCCCGTCTATGATCGTCTCTATCTCCACGCTCCCTATCTCTGGATGGTGTCTTTGGGTCAGCAATACTGACATGGACACTGCAACCTTTGATAATATGGTCCTCTCCACACAATGCAGTTGCAACATCTGGTTCTCCAAATGTTACAAATCCAAAGGCTCTAAAAGGTTTGGGTATAAAAGCATCTACTACAGAACCAAACTTAGAGAAATATTGATGAAGATCATCTGTGTTGATGCCTTCTGATATTCTTGCCACAAATATCTTCCTGGACTGTGTCTGTTGTCCTGCCTCCTGTAACAAGAAAATCATTTTATGGATAAGTATTAGTTGGGATGACAACATTCTGACAAGTCTCTCTAATAATCAGACCACAAAAACAACATAAATACATGTGCCTTCTACACATTACATTGTGGTCTCCTCTAATCAGAAGGTAACCCATCATAAAAATGAAAATACCATCAACTTCACTGTGTTTACATCAAGATAGGAGATTCTGGTTGATGTTATAACTTTGATATAATGGTTGGTCACTTTGTACAAAATGCATCTTATCACCTTTATATGGAAGGAATATCTGCCATAATTATACATTTCTTAATTTGTAAAATGCAATTTCTTAATTTTTAAATAAAATTTCTAATTTATAACATGTTTTTTTTCCATCCGTTACATGAATTTCTACCCGTACATTTCATGATTTGTGAAATGTAACTTCTTAATGTGTAATTGCAATTAATTAATTTGTGAACATATTTTCTTCATTCATTACATGAAATTCTACATTCCTTAATTTGTGAAATGATATTTCTGTATTTGTTCAATTAAATTTCTTCATTCTAAATCTTCTGAAATTATAAATTTCTTAATTTGTAAAATAGAATTTCTAGGTTTGTATAGGAGGTATAATTGTTTTTCAATCAAAATATAAAAAAAACTCTCTATCTGCATGATCTGTGAAATGTAAATTCTTGGTTTGAGTCACATTTTTTGGAAAGTGTGTCAATTTAATTGTTACTGTTTCATAAAGTTTCTATCTATCTATTATAGTTTAAAAACTAGAGGCTCTCAAGAGCCTGTGTCGCTCACCTGTATTTACTGATGCTTTGGAAATCATGTACCGGTAAAATAAGGTTAAAATCATAATTAATAGTATTAGATATTAGATATTATAATGATATCTAAGATAATAACAAATAAAATGCTTCGCTGGGGCGCAGCTTGATACGACCGCAGAGGTCGAACCCTGAACAGTTGGGGCAAGTATGGACACAACATTCAAGCTTGATACAGCTCTGAATTTGGATTTTTATTAAATATTTGACACAGCATAGGTTTCTGACACAGAAAGAATGTGGTCTAAGAACTTGAATTTTTTTAATTTACCTATTATGGTCCAATGTCCAAAATCAAAATACATGGTTAGATTCAGCATATCAAAGAACCCCATATATTCAATTTTTGTTAAAATCAAACAAAGTTTAATTTTGGACCCCAACTTGGACAAACTTGAAAACTGGGCCCATAATCAAAAATCTAAACACATGTTTAGATTCAGCATATCAAAGAACCCCAAGAATTCAATTTTTGCTAAAATCAAACTAAGTTTAATTTTGGACCCTTTGGACCTTAATGTAGACCAATTTAAAAAACGGGACTTAAAATTAAAAATCTAAATACACGGTTAGATTTGGAATATCAAAGAACCCCAATAATTCAATTTTTGATGAAATCAAAAAAAGTTTAATTTTGGACCCCAACTTGGACCAACTTGAAAACTGGGCCAATAATCAAAAATCTAAACACATGTTTAGATTCAGCATATCAAAGAACCCCAAGAATTCAATTTTTGTTAAAATCAAACTAAGTTTAATTTTGGACCCTTTGGACCTCAATGAAGACCAATTTAAAAAACGGGACCCAAATTAAAAATACGGTTAGATTTGGCATATCAAAGAACCCCAATAATTCAATTTTCGATGAAATCAAACAAAGTTTCATTTTGGACCCTTTTGACCTCAATATGAACCAATTTGATAGCGGGGCCTACAAATAAAAAATCTAAATACATGGTTAGATTCAGCATATCAAAGAACCTCATATATTCAATTTTTGTTGAAATCAAACAAAGTTTAATTTTGGACCCCAATTTGGACCAACTTGAACACTGGGCCCATAATCAAAAATCTAAATACATGTTTAGATTCAGCATATCAAAGAACCCCATATATTCAATTTTTGTTGAAATCAAACAAAGTTTAAATAATGGACCCTATCTTGGACCAACTTGAAAACTGGGCCCATAATCAAAAATCTAAACACATGTTTAGATTCAGCAAATCAAAGAACCCCAAGAATTCAATTTTTGTCAAAATCAAACTAAGTTTAATTTTGGACCCTTTGGACCTCAATGTAGACCAATTTAAAAAACAGGACCCAAAATTAAAAACCTAAATACACGGTTAAATTTGGAATATCAAAGAACCCCAATAATTCAATTTTAGATGAAATCAAACAAAGTTTAATTTTGGACCCTTTTGACCTCAATATGAACCAATTAGATAACGGGGTCCACAAATAAAAAATCTAAATACATGGTTAGATTCAGCATATCAAAGAACCCCATATATTCAATTTTTGTTGAAATCAAACAAAGTTTAATTTTGGACCCCAATTTGGACCAACTTGAAAACTGGGCCAAAAATCAAAAATCTAAATACATGTTTAGATTCAGCATATCAAAGAACCTCATATATTCAATTTTTGCTAAAATCAAACAAAGTTTAATTTTGGACCCTTTGGACATTAATGTAGACCAATTTGAAAACTGGACACAAAATTAAAAATCTAAATACACTGTTAGATTCGGCATAACAAATAAATAAATGTGATCAAAGATTTTACAAATCTAATGCGCCATACTGTGCAATTAAAGATTACTTCTTGAAATTTTTCAATATTTGAAATTTGAAAAAAAAATAATATTTGAAGAATAATTCTTTTTAATTTCTGAAATCTGAAATGAGAAAAAATTGGCCCCCCCACAATTTCTTTTTATCCCCCCCCCCCCTTTTTCCCCCAAAAAAATTCTTTCCCTCAAGATATGGTAATAATCTCAATTCAAATTTCCAATGGAGTTGGCAACCATAATTACCCATTTAAATTTACCATAGTGCTAACTTAATCTATTTTATAATAGAATTAATAAAAATATAGTGTCAAATCTTTCATATGGATTTTTTTGTAAAAAAAAAAGATGAAAACATTTGCAGATATTTTTACTGGTCTTCCTTTATAAATATGCATTTCTTTAAACATAATTTAAAAGCAGTGTAAGGGAAGTAACCAAAGCGTTGTATTTGGATTACCTCCCTTACACTGTTTTAGATTATCTTTATTGTTCATTAACCATTACTTTATACATAATTTAAAAGCAGTGTAAGGGAGATAATTTCAATGATGTATTTGATTTATCTCCCTTACACTGCTTTAAATTATGTTTTGTACTAAAGTATTTGTCCATTAACCAGGACAACCTTGTTTTTCCCCCTTTTTTGCCCCTAATTCCTAAACGGTTTGAGCCATAACCCCCCCCAAAGTAAATCCTAACCATCCCTTTGTGGTATGGAAACTTGTAGTATAATTTCAGAGAGATCCATACACCGTTCCACAGTTATTGTCTGGAAACTAGAAAATGCTCATTTTTGGCCCCTTTTTGGCCCCTAATTCCTTAACTGTTGGTACCATAACCCCCAAAATCAATCCCAACCTTCCTTTTGTGGTATTTAACCTTATGGTCAAATTTCAAAAAGATCCATTCACTTAAACTAAAGTTAGAGTGCGAAAACCAATATGTATTCGGACGACGACGCCGGACGACGACGACGCCAGACGACGACGACGACGACGACGCCAACGTCATACCAATATACGACCACAAAATTTTTTTGTGGTCGTATAAAAACTGCAAAATTTTTGTAAAATTACTAACTCAGGGGCAGCAACCCAACAACCGGTTGTCGGATTCGTCTGAAAATTTCAGGGCAGATAAATCTAAATCTGATGAAAATTTTTGCCACCTATCAGATTTGCTCTAAATGCTTTCGCTACAGAGATATGAACCAAAAACTGCATTTTACCCCTATGTTCTATTTTAACCAAGTCGGCCATGATGGTTGGAAGGCAGGGTCATCAGACAAATTTTTTAAACTAGATACCCTAATGAAGGTTATGGCCAAGTATGGTTAAATTTGTATCAGTAGTTTCTGAGAAGAAGATTTTTGTAAAAAATTAGAAAAATTTACAAAAAATTGTTAAAAAATGACTATTAAGGGCAATAACTCCTAAAGGGGTCGACTGACAATTTTGGTCATGACAACTTATTTGTAGATCTTACTTTGCTGAACATTATTGCTGTTTACAGTTTATCTCTATCTATAATAATATTCAAGATAATAACCAAAAACTGCAAAATTTCCTTAAAATTACCAATTCAGGGGCAGCAACCCAACAACAGGTTGTCAGATTTGTCTGAAAATTTCAGGGCAGATAGATCTTGACCTGATAATCAGTTTTACCCTATGTCAGATTTACTCTAAATGCTTTGGTTTCAGAGATATAAGCCAAAATCTACATTTTCCCCCCATGTTCTATTTTTAGCCATGGTGGCCATCTTGGTTAGTTGGCGGGGTCTACGGACACATTTTTTAAACTAGATACCCTAATGATGATTGTGGCCAAGTTTGGTTAAATTTGGCCCAGTGGTTTCAGAGGAGAAGATTTTTGTAAAAGCTAACGACGACAGACGACGACAGACGACGGACGCCAAGTGATGAGAATAGCTCACTTGGCCCTTTGGGCCAGGTGAGCTAATAATAGGCAAAAATTAAAGGGCAATTATTCAAATAAGGAGCCAATTGACATTTTTAGCCATGTTGACTTATTTGTATATCTTGTCCGTCTTGCTGATCAATTCTGCTATATATAAAGTTTATGTCTATCTATTATAATTTTCAAAATAAAAGGCAAAAAAGAGAAAAATTGGTAAATTTTGTCATTTAAATGCAATAACTCCTACTAGAAGTTGTCTGACTGTTTGGAGGTAGATCTCATCATTTTCAAAAGTTTTGCTCTGTCAGATTTTTTCTATCGATAGATTTTTTCAAGATTATAGACAAAACTTGCATTTTCCACCCTTTGTTCTATTTATAGCCATGTTTGTCATGTTGGTTGGCAAGCAAGGTCATTGGACACATTTTTCAAACTAAATACCAGAATGATGATTTTGGTCAAGTTTGTTTAAATTTGGCAAAGTAGTTTCAGAGGAGATGATCTTTTTAAAATTTTAAAGTTAATGGACGACAACGACAGATAAAACAACAGAAGACAGATGCCAAGTGATGGTAAAAGCTCACACTAGACCTTTGGGCCAGGTAGGCTATTAATGAGTGATGAAAATAAATAGGAATACCACCAAGAAATGCACTTTTAACATTTGAGTAGCACTAAGTTTTTTTTATTTTGTTATTCAAACACACCATCTCTTCTTGTAACTTGTAATGACTCCTTACAAAGTTATTTCACTTGACCCATATATTTCATTTTTGGGTACATGAACGGTGTGAATTTTTAATGTTACTTTATCAACATGTAGCCTTATATACAATGTAAAGAATAATACATGGCAAAATCCGTATCATATGCCTTATCATCCCGAGATACCAATATCAGCCCGAGGTCCTTTAGGCCAGAGGGATGATATTGGTTGAGGGTGATACAGCATGTGATATGGACTTTGCCATGTTTTATACGCTTTATCATATATTTAAACAGGAGAGTAAATATGAACTGCTTTCTGATCCCTAGCACCTGGGTTACCTTCAGATTTACTTTTGTCTTGTTTTAAAAGTTTTAAAAGAACTGCTTAATTATTCATCCGAAGCACATGGGTTACCTTACAACTTGCGTCCTGTTGTTCATAGAAATATTTTGTCTATTGTATTTTTTGTGTTTTGTATGGTATTTCATTGAGTTCTTTTTTAAAGTAGCATTTCATGTGCCAGAAAATATGAAAGACGTCACATGCCAAACAATGACGTCATTCGATAATTGACGTCACGCCCTAATGACCGTTCATTTAGGACCCATTGAGGAAAAATATTCCCTGAGAAGCTTGCATAAATAAAAACATGGACTTCATGTAAATTTACTTGGAATCACTACTGTCATAAATGAGAAATTTGAGTAGGGTGTGATAAAGAGTGTGCATCAAAGTTGAGCGATACGGATTAAACAGCAGGCTATTTATCAAATATTCAAAACTACTGTATTTACTACTAAATATATGATAAATAAATATATATATATACACATATATGATATGAGTATAAACAAGCGTATATGATGCAAAAAGTCCTAAACTATGCACCTACATTGAACTTTTTAAGCAATAGAAACAGATGTAAACAATCCAAATATACCAACTTTGCCATTTTTTCTTCTTTAAAGGGAAAATTCGTGAATTTTTACTTATCATCTTATTATGTTCATAATACCATAAAAAACATATTCACCAAGTTTTATCTGGATATGAACACTAATAAAGAAGAAAATAAGAATTATTAATTTTATTTATTCGAACTTCCTGACTTCTGTGACGTAGTTTAAGTCTAATTGCATGCCGGGAGTGGATTTAATCTCATGTTAAGTCTTGTTCTTTAATCATCTAATAACGCGATTTAAAGCGCATCGACAACTATTTTGCGTATCTATTAACCAACTAATAATTACGTGAGTAAAGTGATCAGTCGTGCAACTTTTTAAATCAAAATGTACGATTTATATTTTAGGGATTTCTGATATGATTATTGTAATAAAAGTAAATCATACAATAGAATATTTTTATGATTTTTTTTTCCGACGGATATGTTGAACAAACATTTATAACTGATAGTGTAATAAAAATGCATGTTTGTATTCTCACCTTTTACTTCAGTCAAGGATTTGTCTTACTATACAAATCCTTGCTTCAGTCTAGCAAACATTTCCAGCAAGTACTGTGTAAATACAATGTGTATTATACTGACACTACCTGGTAAAGGCGTGGTTAAATTCATGATAATTAAAAGTTTAGCATTATGTAATTTTAATCTTTTGATCTTCACTAGAGTGTTGTTTGGCCTCAAAGGCTTCACCGTTTCAGGTGTGAAAAACATAAAAAAAAAGTGATAAAAGAGAAGGTTTTGAGACAGAAAAAAAAAATTATTTGGGGAGGAATATGGTGGCAAAATACCTGAATCGCCGTTATATATTTTTTTAATATTTTCCATTAGCTCAGTTTTTAAATAAATAGGTGAGTATTTTGTTGTAACATCCAAATTCTGAATTACTTTCGATTAAATAATTCTATAAATAAAAATGGCCCACGAAAACGAGCGTATAAACCAAAAACTGTTATCATCGGTAACCTTGAATATTTAAATGTGCAGAGAAAATTATATCAGTTACATTAATATAGTTTGGTCTGTCCAAAGCGATTTACATTTACCTAATCGGGAATGCCCTTATTAAAATATTTTTAATCTCACAACGTATAAATACTTTAGCTATTTGACCAACGATGTTTAATAAAAATTAACAGAATCAATCTAACGTCCACTTTCCTTTTTTAAATGGAGACAGACCGGCAGAATAAATTTTCAATGTGCTTTATGTCTTGTGCCTTTGCAAGACTTATCATTCATTCATAAACCCACTCTAAACCAGAGACATATATACACATATATACGGCTGTCTAAAATGACAAGAATACTCTTAAAGCGGACAAGCAGTATATTCTTTAAATTTCTGTGATTTAATACCAAGAAAGAAAAAAATCCCGAAATTAATTTGGTACTCAATATTTTTCCTGGAAAATATTCACATCCTCATTCGGTCTGAAAATAAGATAAGAATTTGGTATACAGAACATGCAGAAGTGTGAATGTCATAAAACCTTGTTATATCAGAAACCATTATAAATGTGAACCTGTATACGTAAGACCTCATGGGACGTCACCTAACCACATACAGGTAATATACAAGTAGCTCTGTTATACGGTTATACCTTAATCACTACCGATACAGAATGTACCAATGCAAAGAAAATTCTAGCTGATCAGACATTAATACAACTACTATCAGTCTATTCGGAGTGAAGTTTCTTTATTTCTTCAAGTATAGGCTTTTTGGGGATCATTAGTGTACGTCCAGTGGCATATATATAACATGCATGTCGGAACAGGAAAATTGACAAAAGGTACTATTAGAACCATGTTCACATTATTATACATTATATCCAACAATTGTGATGATGACAAATTTCTTAAACTGTTCGAGAACAATCTAATTGAAATATAAATCTGTGATTTTACTATGTCCATAACTTCGATGAACCAAAGCAAGTTAGATATCGACCTGTATTTAATTCAGATTGGTTCAGGATGTTTCTCTCTTATATTCAATATGCATGTTTTTATTTTAAATTGCGGCTATCTATAGTTCCGTAACTTTCTATCTAGGCGTATAAACCAATGATCGACAAGTGCGTACATTTTTGTTAAATCAATATTTGTATGTTTTAAAATGTCCATAATTATTGACAACGAGTATATACTTACATGTTCCCCAATTTACCCTTGGAAAATATGTAAATAGATTTTTATTTTATCAAATCTTTTTTTGGAATTATTTAGATTTTCATAAATATCATTCTTTACACCAGATATGTTATTTGTAAACAAGCGTATGAGTTTAGTAATGACTATAGCATATCACTATCGGACACGCAAGACAAAGATGTATATTACACCTGATAGTTTTAAAATGGAAAGTTACAAGTTATCGGCCGTGTACACTGATCAATACCCTCAGAAGTGAAGCGATGCATGAACTTGCATTATGTAATTGTGTAATAAGATTTTTTTTAGCCCGATAGGAAATCGCTTGAATACCTGGATGTGTCACCTCACAATATACCTCTGGAAATAATTCCTTTAGCCATTCTGGTGATCAGATAAGGGAAGGTCCGAATTTATTTAAATAAGTTTAATACATAAAACTAAAAGAGTTATGAACAAATTAGATTTTCGAAAACAATCTTACATGGAACCCTTATTTTTGATTTGAACTTTGACTTTTTAACTAATTCCCATTCAAAATTTCTTGTTTCAAAAATGACAGACCATAGTTATTTAAAAAAAATAATTACAAGTTAGTTAGGAAAGGTTGCACAACCATGTCTATTATAATCGTTTTTGTGACCCATTAACTGTTTATGCTTTCCTTGTCGAATAAAACAACCGTATGCTTGACAAGATATCGACACTCAATTACGACTACGTTAGGTTACTGCTGGTTTTGGTCCTTTGTGGTTTATAGATATCAAGTGGTTTCGTAAACCGGAAGATGACAAAATGGTCACATGCAGAGAATTGATACTCTGAATTTAAAATCGATGGTGATCTCTTATCTAGCAGAATAAAACTTTAATATTTATGAATTTGTGCTTTTTTATACATAATGAACATAATATAATTTTTTCATTTTTTTGCGAAGTTTCCCTTTAATTTTGTTTAATTTCAACTGGGTATCAGCCTGTCCTTATGTATGTTTTCTGACTATTTATCAAAATTGCAGGACTACAAACACACTCATGAACTTTTAAGTGACTGTTGTGGCGTGTAACTATAATCTTTAAGCATGTTACTTAAACTCACAAAACTATCTATAATGATAAAACTTTCAAGAATCAACTGGACTTACATTAGAGTTTGGTATATTTACTTCACACCATCTTCCATCAATCATGTGTCTCTGTTGTGCTAAGCAATTCAGTTGTGCATCATACTCATGGAACCTTATAAATCCAAAGCCTTTAGATTTTTGTGTCCATGGATCGATTTTCACCTGTACATGAGTTTAAAAAAATAAATACATGTGTACATGTACATAACATTGCATAATCATATAGATGTATCATAAAAGTATCATATATGATACATATATACAATATTATACATTTGTAATAACATTGTTTCATACTTGATCATATAGCAACAATGTCACTACAGTAGTGGCAGGCATCATCATCATCAACAATAAAATGCTCCGCTAGGCGCAGCTTGATACAACCGCAGAGGTCGAACCCTGAACAGTTGGGGCAAGTATGGACACAACATTCAAGCTTGATACAGCACTGAATTTGGATTGTGATTAAATATTTGACACAGCACAGGTTTCTGACACAGAATGAATGTGGTCTAAGAACTTAAGAATTTTTAATTCACCTTTTCAAACCATATCATTATTATTTGCTTTTATATATAAATAAGAAATAACCAATTAAAAATGGAAAATTTTAAAGAAAAAAAAATCCCCTCCCCCCCAAATTTTTTGATCCCCCTTATAATTCATCACCCCCAAACTCAATCCCAGCCTTCCCTTTGTGGTATGGTACCTGCAGTACAATTTCAGAGAGATCCATACACTTGAACACAAGTTATTGTCTAGAAACTAGAATAAAATGCTTCGCTGGGCACAGCTTGATACGACCGCAGAGGTCGAACCCTGAACAGTTGGGGCAAGTATGGACACAACATTTAAGCTTGATACAGCTCTGAATTTGGATTGTGATTAAATATTTGACACAGCATAGGTTTCTGACACAGAAAGAATGTGGTCTAAGAACTTCAATTTTTTTAATTTACCTATTATGGTCCAATGTCCAAAATCAAAATACATGGTTAGATTCAGCATATCAAAGAACCCCATATATTCAATTTTTGTTGAAATCAAACAAAGTTTAATTTTGGACCCCAACTTGGACAAACTTGAAAACTGGTCCCATAATCAAAAATCTAAACACATGTTTAGATTCAGCATATCAAAGTACCCCAAGAATTCAATTTTTGTTAAAATCAAACTAAGTTTAATTTTGGACCCTTTGGACCTTAATGTAGACAAATTTAAAAAACGGGACCCAAAATTAAAAATCTAAAAACACGGTTAGATTTGGCATATCAAAGAACCCCAATAATTCAATTTTTGATGAAATCAAACAAAGTTTAATTTTGGACCCTTTTGACCTCAATATGAACCAATTTGATAGCGGGCCCACAAAATAAAAAAATCTAAATACATGGTAAGATTCAGCATATCAAAGAACCCCATATATTCAATTTTTGTTGAAATCAAACAAAGTTTAATTTTGGACCCTAATTTGGACCAACTTGAAAACTGGGCCAAAAATCTAAAATCTAAATACATGTTTAGATTCAGCATATCAAAGAACCCCATATATTCAATTTTTGTTGAAATCAAACAAAGTTTAATTTTGGACCCCAACTTGGACCAACTTGAAAACTGGTCCCATAATCAAAAATCTAAACACATGTTTAGATTCAGCATATCAAAGAACCCCAAATATTCAATTTTTGTTAAAATCAAACTAAGTTTAATTTTGGACCCTTTGGACCTTAATGTAGACCAATTTAAAAAACGGGACCCAAAATTAAAAATCTAAATACACGGTTAGATTTGGCATATCAAAGAACCCCAATAATTAAATTTTTGATGAAATCAAACAAAGTTTAATTTTATACCCTTTTGACCTCAATATGAACCAATTTGATAGCGGTCCCACAAATAAACTAGAGGCTCTCAAGAGCCTGTGTCGCTCACCTGATTCTACTTTGGTTTTGGAAATCATGTAAAAATAGATTAAAATCATAACAGATACCCTAATAATGAGTGAGGCCAAATTTGGTTTAATATTGGTCCTGTAATTTAATAAAAAATCCTGGTGGCCATCTTGAACAGTAAATCGGCAACAAAGTAGCAACACTTAATCAGCACCTCATAAGAAACATTTATGCCATGTTTTGGTTTCATTCCATTCAGTGCACCTCTAGAAGAAGCATTTGTATGTATTTCCCATAGGGTCTTATGTTAAAGGAAGTCCCCCCATTGGCGGCCATCATGGATGAAGGATCAGCTTCAAAGTAACAAGACTTGGTCAGCACCTCAAAAGGAACATGCATGCCATGTTTGGTTTCATTCCATTCAGTGGTTCTTTAAAAGAAGACATTTGTATGTATTTCCCATAGGGTCCTATGTTAAACTAAGTCCACCGCTGGCGTCCATCTTGGATTATGGATCGGCTTCAAAGTAACAACACTCGGTCAGCACCTCATAAGAAACATTCATGCCGTGTTTGGTTTCATTCCATTCAGTAGTTTTCTAAAAGAAGACATTTGTATGTATTTCCCATAGGGTCCTATGTTAAACTAAGTCCACCGCTGGCGGCCATCTTGGATGATGGATCCGCTACAAAGTAACAACACTTGGTCAGCACCTCATAAGGAACATTCATGCCATGTTTGGTTTCATTCCATTCAGTGGTTCTCTAAAAGAAGACATTTGTATGTATTTCCCATAGGGTCCTATGTTAAACTAATTCCACCGCTGGCGGCCATCTTGGATGATGGATCCGCTACAAAGTAACAACACTTGGTCAGCACCTCATAAGGAACATTCATGCCATGTTTGGTTTCATTCCATTCAGTGGTTCTCTAAAAGAAGACATTTGTATGTATTTCCCATAGGGTCCTATGTTAAACTAAGTCCACCGCTGGCGGCCATCTTGGATGATGGATCCGCTACAAAGTAACAACACTTGGTCAGCACCTCATAAAGAACATTCATACCATGTTTGGTTTCATTCCATTCAGTGGTTCTCTAAAAGAAGACATTTGTATGTATTTCCCATAGGGTCCTATGTTAAACTAAGTCCCCCGCTGGCGTCCATCTTGGATTATGGATCGGCTTCAAAGTAACAACACTCGGTCAGCACCTCATAAGAAACATTCATGCCATGTTTGGTTTCATTCCATTCAGTGGTTCTCTAAAAGAAGACATTTGTATGTATTTCCCATAGGGTCCTATGTTAAACCAAGTCCACCGCTGGCGGCCATCTTGGATGATGGATCCGCTACAAAGTAACAACACTTGGTCAGCACCTCATAAGGAACATTCATGCCATGTTTGGTTTCATTGCATTCAGTGGTTCTCTAAAAGAAGACATTTGTATGTATTTCCCATAGGGTCCTATGTTAAACTAAGTCCACCGCTGGCGGCCATCTTGGATGATGGATCGGCTACAAAGTAACAACACTTGGTCAGCACCTCATAAGGAACATTCATGCCATGTTTGGTTTCATTCCATTCAGTGGTTCTCTAGAAGAAGTTCAAAATGTAAAAAGTTTACGCCGACGACGGACGACGCCGGACGCCGGACGACGGACGCCAAGTGATGAGAAAAGCTCACTTGGCCCTTCGGGCCAGGTGAGCTAAAAATCTAAATACATGGTAAGATTCAGCATATCAAAGAACCCCATATATTCATTTTTTGTTGAAATCAAACAAAGTTTAATTTTGGACCCCAATTTGGACCAACTTGAAAACTGGGCCAAAAATCTAAAATCTAAATACATGTTTAGATTCAGCATATCAAAGAACCCCATATATTCAATTTTTGTTGAAATCAAACAAAGTTTAATTTTGGACCCCAATTTGGACCAACTTGAAAACTGGGCCAAAAATCTAAAATCTAAATACATGTTTAGATTCAGCATATCAAAGAACCCCATATATTCAATTTTTGTTGAAATCAAACAAAGTTTAATTTTGGACCCCAACTTGGACCAACTTGAAAACTGGGCCCATAATCAAAAATCTAAACACATGTTTAGATTCAGCATATCAAAGAACCCCAAGAATTCAATTTTTGTTAAAATCAAACTAAGTTTAATTTTGGACCCTTTGGACCTTAATGTAGACCAATTTAAAAACAGGACCCAAAATTAAAAATCTAAATACACGGTTAGATTTGGCATATCAAAGAACCCCAATAATTCAATTTTTGATGAAATCAAACAAAGTTTAATTTTGGACCCTTTTGACCTCAATATGAACCAATTTGATAGCTGGTCCACAAATAAAAAATCTAAATACATGGTTAGATTCAGCATATCAAAGAACCCCAAGAATTCAATTTTTGATGAAATCAAACAAAGTTTAATTTTGGACCCTTTTGACCTCAATGTGGACAAAGTTGATAACGGGGCCCAAAAATCAAAAATCTAAATACATGGTTAGATTCAGCATATCAAAGAACCCCATATATTCAATTTTTGTTGAAATCAAACAAAGTTTAATTTTGGACCCCGATTTGGACCAACTTGAAAACTGGGCCCATAATCAAAAATCTAAATACTTGTTTAGATTCAGCATATCAAAGAACCCTAAAAATTCAATTTTTGTTAAAATCAAACTAAGTTTAATTTTGGACCCTTTTGACCTTAATGTAGACCAATTTGAAAACGGAACCAAAAATTAAGAATCTAAATACACGGTTAGATTCGACATATCAAAGAACCCCAATAATTCAATTTTTGATGAAATCAAACAAAGTTAAATTTTGGACCCTTTGGACCTCAATGTGGACCAATTTAAAAACGGGGCCCAAAATCCAAAAACTTAATACACGGTTAGATTCAGCATATTAAAGAACCCCAAGAATTCAAGAATAAAACGCCATTGAAATTGATCAAGAAATAAGCAATTTATACGAAGTATCTTCTTTTGCACAAAACTGTGCAATTGAATATTTCTTGCTATTGTGCAATAATGTACAATTGACAATTTCTTGCTATTGCGCAATATTGTGCTATTGGATATTTCTTGCTATTGCGCAATACTGTGCAATTGAAGATTTCTTGCTATTGCGCAATACTGTGCAATTGAAGATTTCTTGCAATTGTGCAATACTGTGCAATTGAAAATTTCTTGCTATTGCACAATACTTATTATATAATAATTTACACATCCTGTTTGGTGTGTATCTCCTA